TGTGTGTGTGTGTGTGTGTGTGTGTGTGTGTGTGTGTGTGTGTGTGTTAGTATTAGGATAGTCTCCTCCTGAAGGCTCTCTTGGAGGCTACGACCCGGGAGCCAGTTGTCTGTCTGTCTGCCTGCGTGTGTCTGTATGTTAGAATACTCTCGTCCTGGGCTCTAGAGTCTAGTTTAGGATGTATTCATTCGTGTGTGTGTGTGTGTGTGTGTGTGTGTGTGTGTGTGTGTGTGTGTGCTTATTGTTCCTGATGCCGTTGATGATGTCCACTAACTCCAAATTGAGAAGAATTCAGAGTTCATCCAGATCACTGAGCTGTGGGCCCGATTGTACCTTACGGTAAATAATAGATACCTAGTTTTAAGTTTTAAGGAACTTGCTACTGGCTTTGAAATCTTAGGGGAGGAGAAACGGCAACTACAATATGCTTGCATCTCAAATGTTCACTCTCTAGACTTTTCATGTTAACAGTAGTAAGTAAAAAGAAATAGTGGCTTTTCTTTGAAATTAGTAATTAGGCCTAATGTTATCGTAGGTATAAGTGGACTCAGATTGGGCCAAATAAGTATCAGAAAGATGTAGAATTTCACTCTTTACTGGGTTTTATGGAATAGCAAAGTGTTGTGAAGACCGTATAAAGGGAGGAAATCACCATTATTAGATTCATATTAGTACAAATACAATCTATTTTGAAGAAAGTTGATCTTGGTAATATGAGAAGTAGTAAATAATACTTTATAGTGTAAAATGTGACTGAGTTGATGAGAATTTTTCATATCCAGCATTGCAAGTTCTCTGGAGACAATATTCTGAATTAAAGATTAAAAGTAAATAAGATTTTGCCTGTATACAGAATAGCCAGCTAAACTAAAAAGAAAAATCATCTTAGTGATAATGCCATGTGCATTAGGCATGCATTATTAGGATTCAATTTTTAATGTCAGTTTTTACTCTCAATTGTTTCCTTGAGTGGAATTTTATATTTAGTCTATTGTTTGAACTATTTAATATAGAAATAGGACAGAGCGGTCACAGGAGACGAGCCATTGATGATTGAAAGTATTGGCCTGAAGATAGTACTGAAGTTAATGTTAATGTGTTAATGCACAGGTTTCCAAAGTTCAGTTTCGGAAGTTGAATGTGTTAGTGCCACATCCTGTTGGTAGGTTTTTGTCAGGAAAAGAAAACGACTACTTCGCTACCAGCTGCTGCTGTGTGATTATCAGGCTGGGTCTTTGTTAATAAGTCCTCAAGATGCTCTTGTTATACATGACATCATAGTAAGGAAGGGAAGTTAAGTGTAGGGATCCTCCTTTTCTTTAGGCTCCTGGGAGTGGGGGTGGAGTGTGTGTATGTGTCTGCATTGTGCCTGCAGTCAGTAGAAACTTTTATCAAACCTGGGGCTATTTGTTCCTTAGGATCTATGATTGATTATTCAGTGTCAGCAGTGGTTTAGACAATTAAAGATGTATTTCATTTTCCACTTGTATTAAGATAGTCTTTATTCTCTGGGGATTTGTGCATGTTTAAACAAATCTATAAATACTGCTAAGATTGTTTTGCTTGGAATGCCAAAATTTAGGATATACAATATGTCTTAAGTTATGGTGGCTTACACACCTGTAGTCACAGAACATGTGAGTCTGAGACAAGAGAATCATGAGCGCCTGTTTTGTTTTTAAAAGCCTGGGTGGTAACTTACACTCTTAATCTCAGCACTCCAAACACAGGAGGATCCCCATGAGGATGAATTTAGCCTGGGCTACATGTGAACATCCACCCCACCCCCAGGGAGAGACGGGGAGTTGAGAGAGATTAAGTTAGAAACTAATTTTCTAGTGTGGGCCAGATTTGGCATATAATACACAAAGAAACAAAAGGTAGCCACCACTACAGAAAGTGCATTTATTTTAGGTTCTTTTCTTTGGGAAAAGTTGTTCATAATTTCTGTTCTGTAAATAATAAATAAGTTTCTGTAAATAATATAAACATGTTTAAGTGACAGAAACTTTGGGTAGATGATGAGTAAAAAGTACATGGAAAAGTAAACTATAAAACTAAGGGAAAATTAAGGACACTGAAAATATTTAATATGTTTCATTCATTATTTTAGGAACTGATTTCTTACAAATACTAACTGTATTAATATGCTGGGGTCTTTGTATTCAATTTTTTGGTGAATTGCATTTTAAAAGCCTCTTTGGAAGTGCATAAGGAAATTTAAGGAATGAAATGGATGTCTTTATGTCAAAGAACCAGATTGAAAAAAGTTATAAAACATCATTTTTTTTACACATTTTATTGGATCCTGAACCTGATAAAAAGAAATATGGACTGTGTCTGCAGAGTTAAATGTCTTCTAATCATATTCCTTATATGGTATATTGTTCAGGCTACCAGAATAGAAGTCAGCCTACTGTAATTCATTTACATTAAAAGAGAATTAAAACTAATTAGATTATCTTGCCCGTTTCCTTACTTACCTCAAGCAGAACACAACTTGCATTACATCTCAATACTGGTTTTATATTTAAACCTCGAGAGAGGAAAGAGACGTCCTTACTTACCATCATGTCAAAGGAAAATCCAGCACAGACTGCAGTCTGAAAGATCACTGTTCAAAACTCCCATCGATAGCATTTCCCTTCTTTATGACCAAATTTGGTTTGATCTGTGCAACCTCACATGGCAGTCATTCAAGAAATCTAAGGTATGATGCAGTTCAGTTAAACTCACTCCTTGGATTTATCCCCTCGAAGGCAAAGTCAGGTATTGATACATCTTGTGATTTAGAGCTTGTAAAATAGAGAAATTTTGAAAACACAGAGTTATAGATGCGTAATGTATATAAGTCAAAGAAGTGAACTGGAAAAAAAACCTTAAGACCTGATTTATGTTTCCCTTGTTTAAACTATTCAAAAGATAGAGATATGTCTTCACTGTAAAATTTTCATTCACGTGGTCTTGATTTCTTCCAAGGAAGCCAGATTCAGTTAGTAAATTCATAACTTTATCTTTAATGACATCATTTGCCTTGCATAGTAAAATTAATGATTTATTTTTCTTTCCTTGGGGTGTATGTGAGTGCATATGTGTATTCACGTATGCATGCATGCAGGTACCCATGGAGGCCGGGAGAGGGCATTGGATTGCCAGGAGGTAGTTACAGGCTGCCTGCCATGAATGTTAGGAACAAAAGTCAGGTTCTCTAGAAGAATAGTAGGAGATAACTCCTGAGCCATTTTCCAGTCCCAAAATTAATATCTTAGAACTGCAGTCCAAAAAGATTGCTTTGTCAAACAAGTAAAATAACAAATTATTTTTTTAACAAACCTGTGTATATGGGATTGAATGTTAATATGTCAGTAGGATTACTTTTGTAAAGGGAGACTGCTTGTTTGTTTCCCGGCCACCCAGACCCAAAATAATCACACAGAAACTATATTAATTAAAACACTGCTTGGCCTATTATTTTAGGCTTCTTAATAATTAACTCTTACATCTTAAATTAACTTACTTCTATTATTCTGTGTATTGCCACAAGTCTGTGGCTTACCTGGTAAAGTTTTGGCATTTGTCTCCTTCAGCAGGTACATGATGTCTGTTTGGCTCCTCTCTCTCCCTCTCCCTCCCCCCCATCTCTTCCAGCCTGGCTATATTCTGCCCTATTATAGGCTGAAGCATGATCTTTATTAACCAATGGTAATAAAACGTATTCATAGCATACAGAGGGGAATCCCACAGCACAGAATAATCAAAATTGATACCATTTTAAATTGATTCACATATGAAGTCATTCTTCCAATTAGGAATGTTTCCAGTTGCTGAGGGAAAACAGCTGG